CGGCCTCCCAAAGTGCCGGGATGACAGGCTGAGCCACCGAGCCCAGCCTGGAGTCTGTTTCTACTCTAGTGTCTGGGCTTAGAGGATTTAGGTGTCAGGCAGGAAGCATGAGTTTGAACTTGTCGTTCCATTCCCTTCCATGGCCTCCAGGAAGCGATACCTCCGGCGGCGGGCAGCTCTGGGACAGCTGAACACCATCCTCCTGGTGGCCCGGCCCCTGCTCTGGAGGCGGCAGAGACTGCAGGTGCTTGGGTGGGGCCACGGCAGTGGGGCAGCTCAGGATTGGAGCTAGCCAGGCTTGGCGGCCAACTTGGTTAAATCCCGACAGCGGCTACACTGTCTGCCCAGCCTCTCAGGGACTGCGGCCTTAGTGACTACTGCTGCTTGAGCTCAACCCATTTCCTTCTGTCTGGGCAGGGTGGGCTGAGGGCCCTGCAAGGACCCTCCATCCCTGCCACTCCCCCCAGCGCCTGGCTCTTCCCTTCCTTCCTGGGGTTCCTTCCTGGCCCCCAGTGCTCCCCTCTCTCACCCGATAACTCCAATTTGAGGGCCATAAAGCAGCTCAAAGGTCAGTGCCCACATACCGCCCCCCTCTCTGGGCCCTCCCGACTAGACTTTGGCCCCTGGGACCATTTCTTCTTCCTGCCCTCTTCCCGGTTCCCTGGCAGACGGGCAGGAACACCCATAAGTGCTGAGGCAGGTAGGGCTCTGGAGGGCCGGGGAGCAGGCAGGGACCGATGGCACCGCCAGGCAACTGGCTCCTCTGCATCTGTTCTCACTTCTTTGCTGGTGCCGGGGCCTCCCAGGAGCAGGAGAGAACAGCTGAACTGTGGAACTGGGGGTGGGGGGTATAGCTAGGTGACTACCCGTGGAGGCATCGGCTCTTCCTGCATCCCCCCAACAGCTCGGGCTTTGGCGTGGCTGGCACAGTGGTGGGACCTCGGAGAAAGTGCCAAGCATGGTAGGCGGCCTGGAGCTGGCGGGTTTTTATATGGGGGGATGAACCCGCTGAAACCTGAGCAGCCTAGGGGGTGGGGTACCACCATGGAACCTGACCCATAGAAGAGGGCTGGGCTGCCCTTGGCTCTCTGGTGCTCTTGGGTTTCCTCTGAGGGCCCTGGGGGCTCTGTTGGTTGAGTGCCCAGGATCTGAGTCCTTGATCGGGCAGAGATGTTTATAATCTTGGGGGTGAGGAGGGACACCAGGCCCTATGCCCTCTCCGTGGTTCCTGAGTAAATTGTTCCTCTCTGCCAGGAGCTGGGGCGCTTGGAGATCCCAGCCGAGCTGGCCGTCATGCTGAAGACGGCGGAAGGTGAGTCTCACTAGGCCCTTCTGCTGGGACCTGCTTCCCCAGTCCCTTTACTGTGTGATGGGTCTGTCCCGTGTCCCTCTCTCCGATGCTCCAGACTCCCCCTAAGCTCACCGCTTGGCGGCCTGTAGATGGGCTGGTGGCTGATGGAGAGGGCAGAGGTAGTCCAGAGCCAGGACCACACTTGGTGCCTGTAGGCTGCCTCCCGTTGCTTGTCCCCAGGCCAACAGGACGCCCTGGCCGGGAGCATCACTGAGTCCATGCCCCCTGAAGTTCCTGCCCGGCCCAGCCTGGCCCTCCCGACAGACGTCGACCGGTTCCCCTTCTCCAGCTTCGTCTCCATTGGCTTTCAGGTGGGCCCTCCTCCTCCCCAGCTAAGATCTTCGCTGGCCCCAGTCGTCCCTGCCGGGCAGACCCTGCACCCTTTCCCGCTTCTTCCACTCTCCCTCCTCCCTCTCGAGTCATCGGGGCTGAGGATGTGGCTGAACTGCTCTGAAAATATCTGCTGAACCTAAACGTCTCATCATAGTGTTATTCAGACCCATGGTGTCACACCTTTATTACACCTGCCAGAGTATCCTGCCAATGACATCATGTCCTTAAAGAGTGTTTAATGACAAGGGCAACTGCCCAGCCCACGGTGTCAAACAAAAGTAGGATTCAAAACTGCACATAGAGTGTGAGCTCTGTTTTGTTTAAAACCAGCAAGTAGGAGGAGTGTGCTGGGGTATGTGTATCTATGCATAAACAGGAACAGGAGGTCGGACTTGGTGGCTCAGCCTGTCATCCCAGCCCTTGGGGAGGCCGAGGCGAGTGGATGGCCTGAGCCCATGGGTTTGAGACCAGCCTGGGCAATTTGACGAGACCTCGTCTCTACAATAGATAAAAAATTCCTCCTTGGAAGGCTTCCTCCTTGGAAGGCTGAGGTGGAAGGATCTCCTTAGCCCAGCAGGTCGATGCTGGAGTGGCCGTGAGTGTGTCACGGCACTCCAGCCTGGGCGACAGAGTGAGACTCCAGCTCAAAAAACAAAAAGAAACCCAGTAACTGGAGGAAGGCTAGAGAGTCCACTGAGGCCGTTTCTAGCAGTGGGATGCTGACGGCGGTTTTTATAATCTTCTTTGCCCTTCCCATCTTTTCTGAGTTTATGGGTGTCAGTTTTCTAATCCAAGAACATTAAGATTTCTGCGCTGCATTTCCGGACAGCCCCTGCATCACTCTCCCAGGGTGCCTGCTCCTTGGGCTCCCTGTGCCGGCCTCCAGCCGGCCAGCACAGACAGGCCCTGCCCAGGCACCGTGTGACCCTCCTTCCCTGCAGGAACCATCCCTGCCCAGGCCAGGGCAGCCACTGACGAAGCCTTTGACCCAGCTGGATGGTGAGAACCCTCAGCGTGCCTTGGACATCAATAGGGTGGTGAGTGGCACCTCAGGAAGAGGATAGGGTGGGCTCTCGCAGGGACAGAGCAGGCGCCTGGGAACCCTGCGCACCCTGCCCTCACCTCGCTGTCGGCAGATGCTGCGACTCCTGGGGGACGGATCCCTGCAGTCCTGGCAGAGGCAGACCATGGGCACGTACCTGGTGCGGCAGGGGCAGCACCGGCCAAAGCTGCGGGATGAGCTCTTCAGCCAGCTGGTGGCCCAGCTCTGGCAAAACCCAGACGAACAGCAGAGCCAGCGAGGCTGGGCCCTCATGGCCGTCCTGCTCAGTGCGTTTCCCCCCATGCCTGCCCTGCAGAAGCCGCTGCTCAAGTAAGGGGTCCGGCGGGCGGGGACCCGTGGGTGGGCTGGGTGGACCACCCCCTCCACAGCAGCCTGTGTTGTCCTGCAGATTCGTGTCGGACCAGGCCCCCAAGGGCATGGCGGCG